TTTCTGCAAAAAAATCTAAATTCAACATTAGCAGACCTACCATATACAATATCAATGGTGTATGAAGTTTGGACCATTGTGACTAATGTAAAATCACTAGAAAAGCAAAGGCTCTGTGCTGAAAGTGTATGCACAACCCTTCAATAAAGTGGACAACATTCTCAAACTTGGTGAAAGTAAAACCAGTGTGGATGATCTAAAGTAAGCCTCCAGACAAGTGAGGCTTTGCCTTTCCTCTGCAGGAATACAGAGAAGCAAAATAATGGATGCTTCTGTCATGAGAGACGGTGAAACTCTATGATGCTGTAGGTGAGAGGGACTCCGAGTGGGTCCGTAAATAAAGCCTGCCACTTAAAAACAGGCCTCTGGAAACTAACCCCCACTCCTGCTCTTACTGCTGATCAGAAGGCAGGGAGGGTTTTTAGTTTCTTAATCTGAGTAGGTTAAGAAAAATAATAAAAAGTATAATGTTTTTTTTTTGTAATTACATGCCATGTTTGTTTCTGTTACAAGTGACTATAACAAAAAGTACCATGACTAAAAGGCTGAACTGTAAACTTTTTTTTTACAAGTTACTAATCCCAGATGGTAAAAATTCAATACAAAGAGAACCCAATAAAAAGTTACAACAGATGTTTAAATTTTATTGATGTAGTGATGACAAAGACATTAAAAGTCTTTTCTTTTTTTTACTGGCTATCAGTTAAAAAACATTGATTTTAATGCAAGGATATTAAATTGTTTGATTAAAAAGTACATTTCTGAAGCATTTAGAAAGCAAGTGTTACAACAATCTGTTGTTCACACTTTTATTCCACAGATAAAAGTCAATTACGAGGCCAGCTGTGCTGAAATCTCCACTTTGTCTGCAAAGATAAGAAGTAAAATAAACAATAATTTTATAAAACTGATTAAATGACCAAATCTTAGGGTTTAAAATAGCAATTTTACCCTGGATTAGATCTACACACTGTTGGACCTATGACACTTATTTCAAACAACTTCAGAGTACTTTAAAAAAAAAAAACACACACACACATATGCATGGAGAGAACATGTAAACTCAACTTAGAAGGGCTTCAGGCCAGGAGGCAAACCAGTGACCTTCTCATTGAGCAGCGACAGATATAATCACTGCACCACCTCATCCAGAAAACGGCAAATTTAAAAAGTACAAAAAACAGCAGGACTTTTGTTCTGTAGCTGAAGACATGAAGAGTTCCAAGCTTTAAATTGCATGACATTGGTACTGATATAAAAAAAATCTGTATCAAACAAWATAGCACCACCTCAGTGACGTAAAAGCTTGATGAAATGCAACATGAGCATTCAGACTGAGGTCACTTTAAAAACTTTAGATTTGTATCCGATTTAGGACCTTGTATGAAAAAAAAACCAGGTTAGGGCATGAAAAAATAAATAATTGAAAAATGAACAGGTAAAAGTTTTAAATAATGGTTTGATTTCTGCCACTTTTCCCTACCTTAATCTAAAATAAAACCTCTTGTAATCAAAGAGAGAGTGAAGAACCAGAGCCAGACTGGGACACAGACCTAACAGATGAGACGTTTTGGGCTGCTTTTGAGAACCCCTCCACGATAAGGTAAATACGAATAAAGTTTTTTTTCTCTCTTTCAGTTTTCTGAGTACTAACTCCCTGCACGTTCACACTAAGACCTCTTAGAAAGTAGACTGACGAAAGACCCAGACCAAAGCAGACCCAAGGCCAGACCGGAGACCTGACATGCACTTGTTCTTTTTTCCTCTGACTCATGCTTAGTCGCTCAGCAGCAGCACAGTGAAACCTCAGTCCCTGTGCCAGGTTCTGTCACTGGGCAGAGCAGCGACTTGGCTACAGTAAAAAATAAATAAAAAAATAAATAAATATGCATGACGTGATGCCCCCTTCCGCTGTGCTTTACCCCCCAGCCTGTGCAGCAACAGAGGGGTAAAAATATCCCACCAAGCAAGTTCAGACAACCAGCTCATAAATTAACACTAAAACTCCTGCAGACAACAGCGAGCCAGTCGTTGAGAGATTTATACCACTCAGGTTCCCACTGACCACAGCTCTGGGATCAGCTTACAAAATCCTTTTCCTAAATTTACCCATTAGGAGGCAGTGAATAAGAAACGGGCTCTAGATCAGTTTTCATCCAAGTCACTATTTAGCTTTACGCTAAGATCGTAAACTATTTTATCCAAAGGGACTCTGGGGGTGCACTTTTCTTTTTTCTTTTTTTTTCCCCAGGAAGTGTTATGTAGGCTGAAATGGAGAATTGTGTAGAAGCGAGTGGTCTGTTCCGGAAAACTGCTCGACTAGATTAAAAAAGAAAGACAGAAAAAAAAAGAAAGAAAACAAACAACAGGAGAGAAGAGTGATGATCCCGTCTAAGGAAACTCAACTCTGTAATGGACGGACAGGGATTACAGAYGTTAAAACCTCCTCCATCTGTAATTCACTGTCACCCTGCCATCATCTATGAATCACTGATCCACTCGGCAAGTGTGCAAGACCTTGCTAAAAGCATCACTGTTGCACCCATTTGTGTTTGTAGTGGTGGGGAGGGGGAAAATATCATGCAGAGACAACTTAACAGCTTACTGTGCTGTTTCAAAGCACTCTCTGTCCTCTAACAACCACCTAGCTAGTTTCCTCCCACCCTCCCTTACACACACAGGGAATGGGACATGCTGATCAAATAAGATTTTAATGAACATCAGCGTTTGAACGTGAGGAATAGACGCTTGAAGCTAGTGACATCTAGTCTGGGGTGGATTTTCATCTTCAAAAAGTAAAAAAAAAAAAAA